AATGATATAATCATGATCTTTTTAATCCTGGATAATCATATTCAAAATAACCCAGCTAAGTCTTCATTTCCGGCTTCAATCCTTCGTTTATCTTGCGAAAAATTTATAAAAATAAATAGAACGTAAACTTCATAAAGAGTATTTTAGGTTATATAATATATTTAAATTAATAATATCCAATTATACTCAATTTGAATTATTTTTAATCGTTTCTATAGATCGCTGCTGCTTCTACTCAATATGTTTAACATTCAATATTACTTTAAAACGATAGAGTTAAACGTTTTAATTCAAGAAAACGTATTATAAATTTGAGACTCATATTTAATTTGTTATTTACTAAACATTAATATGAAAATGGTTTACATTGAAACTAATCACAAAAATGGATTGATTTACAATTTGGAACAAGTAGAAGAAATGACAAAATGTTATTTAATTCAAAGGATTGGGTTACCATTGCTTTTTTGATATGTAAAGCAATAGTTTAACTTAAAAAAATTAATTACGGTGTGTGGAACAAAATTATATTAGTCACATGTTTTCGATAAATACATTTATATTAATTTCGCCGGGAATGACACACATTCGTATACATATGAGCGTATAATATTACGTCTATTAATGTCATACGTATGTTCATGTTGTTACTGAAAATTATTGCGTATCAGTAAAATAAACAAATTAACATTTTAAAAATAAAAGTTGCAAAAACTCATATTTTTTGTTTATCTTTATGGACATACGAAATAAAAATAGATTATGGAATATGTTACAGCGACTTATGAATATTAATTACACAATCATACATATAAAACACATTATTTAATCACGCAAAATCACATCGAGAAATTCAATTCTACGTGATAAAGAAATAATTAAGTCATGACGGAGCTTAAGAGTTTTAAAATATTTCAAATTTTGTATGTACTTTTTTTTATACTTAAAAAGAAAAACGGTAGAAATTCATTTCAAGAAAATCCTTACAAATACACCAATAGGGATTTTTTGATATTTTATTTTTTTGTACTTGTATAGAAGCGCCAATGCGGCATTTTTTCGCGAGTAAGTATTTTATTTAAAAAGAATCTATTCATCTCTCTCGCTCATTAATGAATGAAAATAAATAATAAGTGAAAAAAATGGGATTGACAACAAATAAAGGAAAACAAAAGGATTGCGTATTGGGAAAGTTTAGATGAAATGAAAGCATCCGTCGAAGAGAATTTTTCAAAAAGATACTTTTCTACACTTGTTCGTTCATTGACTTTCTTCAATTTAGGAGAAGAATCATATATCTGTATTGTACAATTGGATCGCAGACCCGTCTTACATACTACAATAAGCTCTACGATTACATTCATTAATGTCCGTATTATTCCCGGGAAAAGAAAGATTGTATTTAGTTGTTTTACAAGGTCACTAAAACTCCTTTGTGAAATCACAAAATTTGTGCTAGCGATAGAGGATCGTCTTTAGTTTTGTGACCGAGAATATCACTGGATTTTAAAAGAGATTTAGATCCATCCATTACATTGATATGTTATTAATAATTAATATATTATATTAATTTATCATGTAAATTATTAATAATCATTTATAAATTTTGTAGAATTTTTGAGAAATACGTAAAAATCACTCATGAAAAGTATTATTTAATTAAGAAGTTAAATCATTCTCCAGCAATCAATTATTACTGCGTTTTTCCATAAAAATTTTAAACAATAATAAATTGATTAATTAATGACAATTAATTTTTATTTCAGTTAATACAATATTTACGTATAAAAACTGTATAGAATGTGTCACATGGCAGAAATGTCATTAAAATCCAGCGTCGATAATCCCGTTCAGTTATCTTCATTGAGATATAAATTTTTACTGTTCATATCTTATGTAGAACATAATCTGACGTGACTCAACGGTTCGCGTAAAAGAGCACGGCAGTGTCTCACGCTGTGTTAGCATCGAGACACTACCATGTCTCCAGATTTCTATGCAAAAATATGTTCACAAAAGCGACATTACTATAAGTATGTATGTAATCCAGACTAGATCTCGCGAGTGTTTCATGAAAATCGAAATTGACTCTCATTTAATCACTGGTATATAAAATATTGCCTCTGAATATAATATGTGATGACACATTCGCGTGTCGGCCACTGTGCCGCGACACATGTGCAATTACATAGTATACAAAATATCTTTCTACCGAATATACATACGTATGTATATAGATCGCACAACGCACGGATCGTTAAAAGTTATCTGTGCCAAAGTTACTGGTCCTCGATTTCCTGAAATAAGCTAGTATTTATCAAGCGAGACACGGATTGTATCTTGCAATTATATAATTCCGTACCTTCGGTTACGTGATCGACGACTAGCGAAGCCCGGCTGATTTTCACGTGGACGTATTATTTTCTAAACACGTGACTTATACAAGTTTAAATTTATCTAATTACAATAGGTGTCGTGCGCATTACTGTTTTATCTCGTGCCACGCTTTTGAGCTTCATTTATCCAGAATTTGTTTAGGCGAAATAAATTTAGATCTTTAATCAAACTTAAACTGTTTATGGAAATGTTTATTAGAATTTAAAATTTACCAAGTTTGTCAAGAGAATACGTTAACATTTTATCGTATTAAGATGTATTGTTTTATTCTCAAGATTTATGCGAAATTTTTCTTTTATTTCTAGAAATTTTTGGGGATTTTTGATAGACAAATGGATATAAAATTCCGATAAATGGAGCGTTATCGGGCGCGAAAAAATCGGAAAAAATATAGCGCTTTACCGCACGAATCTCTTTAAAAAATACGGATTACCAGAAGAAACTGGCAAAAAATGCAGACAAACGATACACGTATATTACACGATAAATTTAAATACAGATGTACATGTAATCTGTAAGTACAAATATAAGTTCTTACATGCTAATCTTATATCGCTCTATGTATATTTTTTTCCAAAATATCTTTCGGAGATATAAAAACGCTGAATATACAAATCGCGATACGCAGTAGATCGCAATTGTGATGCTACGCGTGAATATGTAGCTGCTGGTAGATTATCTCACCCTCTGCTTAACAAAGTTACGAGCGACGGTTTTTGTAATTGTACGTATTTCGAATGAAATGCACATTCTAATTTATCAATAATTTTGAACCATAGCCTGATGATTCGAAGCAACAAAGGAAATATATCGATAACGGAAACTTTGTCGAGGAACATATTTTTAATCGCTGATTGTATATAAAGTTAATACTAACGAAAAGTAAATTTATATAATTATTCGTTTTTTAATTTATGCAATTATTTATGTGATTATTTTCTAACAGGTTCATCATAAATATATTTTTTTAACGAAATTAACCCTAGTTGTGACGTGATAATTTAATATAATTGATACTGAGAATTACACAAAATTAATAAAATTACAATTATAATAAAATGATATAAGGAAAGATCTCGCTATATATCGATATATATTTTTTTAGGCGCTCGATATAACCTTCTTCTTCCACAAGAAAAGAATTTAATAAAAAATAATCGTACAGAAGACAACTAATTAAATCTGGTACTCATTGCGCAATTTAATTTCGCAAATACGTGCGAAAT